TTGTCACGTCGTTTCGGTGTTTCCTCAATTAGAGTGTGGCGAACTTTACGCGAACAGCAATTGTATCCATTTCTTATAACAAGCGCAGAAATGTTTCCCACTGGTTAATTTGACAATGCAAACGAGATCCTAACTTCCTGAACTGCATTTTGTTTTCTGATGAATCTTGCTTTACAAGATACGGGATTCCTAATTTTTTATCTATTGAAAACAAATGTAAATATCAGTTTGTTCAGAACCGCTAATTTCCGAAAGATCTTCACCGATTACTTTGAATTTTTGATACAACGATGCAATCAAATTTAGGAGTGTTTTTTATATACTTTTCATTACCATCCTTTCGTTTCGAAATAGCTGCCGAAAAAACATAATTTGCTATACTACACTATAGCGCCAAAATGACTGAAAAGATTTTTAATGAAACTTGGTCAATGCCTTCTCCTTGAAGCCCGTTTTAATTTATGTATACTAGCCTGAAAATAGGCTTAAAAAATGTTTTTATTTTTATTTTAAGTAGATATTAAAGTGTATGTACAAATGTATAAGAATACAAACAAAATGTTGGAAACATACAAATTCATTTATGCTTTTCTTAAATTTTCAATAATGATTATGACCGAATTTTAACCACTAGGCGGACACAAGTAATACTAAATCAATGATTTATTAAATCTTGTAAACTGCAATTAATGCTTCCAATTACACAATATAATCAGCTGTTTGCTGTCAACCATTAAAATAAAATAAGAAAAAACATTTCCTAAAGAAAAAACATGAAATGTAAAAATGAACTTTTATTTTTATTACTTTAATATGTACATATAATTTGACAATATAGAATCGATTCTGGACCACCAAAAGTTTTTTATTTACTTATTTATTAACTTATTATTAATATATTAATATATTAAGCCACCTACACCTTGAAAAAGTTTTAGTTTCAGAAATTCAGGAAGATATTTATCCATGCTCAGCTGGCTCTTGTCTTCGCCAAGAGACCCACTTAGTTTAAACTGCTCAGCAGCCACAGCTATCTTCCACGGTACACGAACTCCTCGAAGTACGAGTAGTTAGTTATCTTCTTTCATAAGGAAGGAAAAATCACTTTCAGTGAGAACGAATTTTCCCATATTCTGCCATACCTTGCATCTTAGAGTGTATTTTTTTCTAGTTTCATTTAATTTTTTCATCGAGTTTCATAAAAGTATTCCCTTTTGACAGAATGGTCAAGTGAACGATTCGGCATACCACAGTATCCTCTTCTTAGTTAACATGTATGAGTAACAATAATCATTGTTATTTTCATTTTTTAAACATGTAACTAATAGAAGCAGAAACTTTTTGGGACCACACCCGCAATTATTTAATTTGACAAAAATAAAAATTTACAATATTTTTAAGTATCATACTTTTTTCAAGAAACTTTCATGTTTCTTGTTGGAATAAATAGATTCGACTGTATTTAAATCGTAGGAATAAATTTTAAAGATACTGTGAATTTAAAATTTATTGAAAAATTCAAATAGAAAGCGTCGAAGTTATAATAAGTCGAGTTTAATTTATCGAAGTCTTAATAACGGCGTTGTGAATTAATTCTTAAAAAAAAAAAAAAAAACCGCATATAACAGAACGCGGACGAAAAGTACTTAGGAAAAAGTAAATTAGAAAAGTTAAACAGTTTGGAGGAGCGTTCGACCTCACCCGATTCCCATTACCAGGACTGGATTAATGGTGCTCATGGTGAACCAACCTAACCATAGGCCCACCATAGGCACCCTACTCTCTATCACCATTAATTGTGTTGTATTCAATTTGATAATAAGGGGTGATGGTAAAGTTATATCATAAGGATAAGATGATAAAGTTGTAAATTAAAAATAAATTCATAAAGATATTTTAAAAATTGAATGTAGGACTTTGCCATGATTTATGTCACATAATACTTCTTTTATGTTAGTTGGATAAATTTAATCTTAATAGAACCAAAAAAAAAAATATAATGAGGAAATTAGTTAGCTTGAATTGACCTGTTTTTTTTCCGATAGCGAAGTAAGTTTTATCGCTTCTTAAGTAAAGAGCTATTATTTTATCAAACAAAAAACGAAATTTTATGGATAAATTGATATTATACATGATGGAACAAATACACTTGGAAAAAGTGTTATTTTATCTTATAAAAAAATAATAAAAGCTATATCTATATCTCTCATACAAGCACAAAGTAAATGTTAACATAATTAAAACCTATACAATAGACATTGACTTTCGCTACCTCAAGTAATAAATGAAACCACTTAACCTAAATGTTGGGAATATTAAAAAAAAGTTAGTATTAAACTCAGTTATTATTTTTTAATAATTAAATACTCTTTACAAATTAAAAAGTTCTGAATTGAATGAATAAATAACATGTTTGCTAATCGATATTATAAGTAAATGAAATATAAAATTATTTATCAAGTGTTGATGTAGTTGTGATGTTAACTGGAAAACTCTATATCCATACACATGAGGCCTAATGCCAAACATGTTATCTGTTAAGGTGGGTTTAGACATAGCACAGACTATGCGAAACACAATTACCTAACTTAAATAACAGCGACATCAGGGCTAAGGCGTTTGATTTTTTCTTTTATTATAGATAGCATATGAAAAACATAAAAAACAAGAAGGTAAACCATTTAGTTATTTGTTTTTCCCACAGTTTGTGAAATGGCTGAAAGCACCTTTACATGGCTGATTTCCTTGTTCATTCTATAGTTGAATAAATTTAAATAAAGTTAGATATTTCATGGCTAGGGGACCTGCCATATGTTCGAATTTAGATCTTGTTTACCAAAGTGAGGTTAGTTCAAAATACGATTTTTGTTTGTTTATTCATATTTATTCCTTTTATAAACCATTGATTCATCTGTGAAAGATGAAATTGGGCCTTTACAAGGATAAAAACAGGAAAAGAATAGCATAGACAAAGTGATTGGAAGATTATAATAACATACAAGTTTAACTTCCCTAGGGCATGGATAAAAGTGCTGGTATCCATAATCGAAATAATGGAAGCGGCAGCGACCTTTTAATCATATTGACAAATGATTCACTTAAATTATGCCTAGAACAACTTGGAAACACCGACATGACCTTACTCGTTTAAATATAAAATAGTCATATTGGACAACCACGATAAATGTATAAAGGACGATCAACGCCACTACTCCAAGTTCCAGATGGTTTCAAGAGCACACTATTTCCAGATTTTCAATGAAGGTACAACTCTACTAGTGTCATTACAATTTGACGAGTGGCCCAAGATCCCTTGATCACGCTATAAATGGAATTACGAGAATAGCCGAAGATTGACGAGTTCACAGTATAACCTCATTTTATTTAGATCGCGATTTAAAACCTTTCAGTTAAAATTGGGGCGTTAATTAGCTTTTTCCCTGTAGAGCAAATCCGATACCTAGGACTCCACCTGGACAAACGACTAACTTGGAATCCTCATACTAGACTGAAACGACAAGAAACCGCTCGACGTTTCCGATTACTTCAGCACTTACTAGACAAACGCTCTAAACTTCCCATTAATTACAAAACACTTATATACTTGACTATAATAAGACCTATTTGGACTTACGGAGTTGAGCTATGGGGCTCCACTAAACCATCGAATTCCTCTCGCATCCAATCCTTACAATCCAAAATCCTTCGTAAAATCCTCAATGCTCCTTACTTTGTCACTAAAAAAATTATCCATAAAGATCTTAATGTTCCTTATGTTTCAGATCTGGCCCAATCCAGATACCTATCCTTCCATAATAAACTTCAGAATCATCCCAATCCTCTCGTTTCTAACCTTGCTTCCTCTTCAATTCCTGATAACCCTCCGAGGCGTCTGAAAAGAAGATGGCCCCGTGATCTCCAAATGTAATCATATCATTAGAGTGCTACCATTGGGTAGTTACTCAGCAAGTGTATTCATGTCATTATATCAATTATGTCCAAATTTACTTGATGTATTTATGTAATACAGTTGTAAATGTCATAAAGAAATAAAAAAAAAAAAAAAATTAGCTATTATTACATGCTAACCTCCAACGGGTCCTTTTCAGTTGACGTCAGTGGCATACAGGATGGTTCGATCAGTTTCTTTTATCTTTGGATACACTCACCCATTCTATTCAAGTATGATCATAAAATCTAGCGCTATCCATCAAAGTGGAGTGATACTTGTATAGTAATACGCCCATTAATGCTGTAAGTAGCCGAGTATTGACAAATATGTTATTATTCCTTACTTACACGATTTCGTTAGGTTAGGTATATAACCTATATATCTCACCTTTTTATCACGTAAATATGTAAAATAACAAAATACCCAATAAGGTAAATATCTGCTAAGCCATGTAGCTCGTTTGCCTACAACACAAAATTCTAAAATACCTAAATATAATAAAATCCTTATTCACACGACAGATACAGTGAAAATATGTACAGTAATAAAATAAATGTAGAAAAATTAGCAATTGAAATATACCAGTTAAAATTAGATTTGAATTCGACATTCTCGTTGATAGATACGGAGAAAATACGTAACAATAAAATATATACAGAAAAACATGTTTAATAAAATAAAAAAATATGATACAGAATAAATTTTGATCAATAGGAAAATTTATAGCGTTTTAATTATTGTTACCGTCATTAAGACTCCGATTAATCATAACTTAATTAACTTAACTTAATTATTCAATTATCATTGTATTTTAACAAGATAATTTACAATCAAGAAACCGGTTGGCTCCGTCATATTTCGGTCACATTCGGGTATTTTCGGGAATCTAGGAGTAGCGTTTTCTGAGAGATCTTGAAACCTTTGTAACTTAGAAAGAAAAATAAAGGAATTAGTACCCTAAATATATTAAGTTATCCAAAATAAAACATGAAAATTCAATTGAAATACAAATGTTAATATAAAAAAAAAAAACCTACTGTTGAATCGATTTATTTTAATTTAATAAATAAGGTTACAACTGGGTGATTAAAGTAAATAAATAGGTAATGTTGCCGGAGATCTCAAATCCTGAGGCAGAACTTGGGCAGCCTGGATGAGACGATTCTTGAACCCTCCTGACTGTCCTGGCAATTACGAGTCTTCATCCAGGCGAAGAACTGGAAGCACAGCCCGGCTCCCAAGGCCAAGATCCACAGCGAGTACAATAGAGCCATATCCCTGATGTTATCGGCAGTGAGGGCTTTTATATCGATAATAATGATGTGAGTCCGTGTATAAAGAATGTAATGTGAAATGTGGAAAAATTAACAGCTGCTGAGATAATTTAAAAATAAATAATAAACTTTGTTTTCTATTTCCTGTTTTCTTTTTCTTTTTTTTTTTTAGTTTAAAGGCCGAATCTGGCACAGCATAATTGAAAAAGAAATACTTTGAAACATGTATCCTAGCTACCAAGCCGAAGTAAGAAATTAAGTTCCCGAATTCGGAGATCCAAAATACGTAAGTGAATACCTTTATCCTAAATATAAAAAAAATGTTAATATATTTAACTGCACACAGTACAAAATCTGAAATATTTAAGACAAAGGTTTAGTCTGCTGACTTGATCAACGGCTAAATACCACAACAAGTACTTAGTCACCACATGAGCAATACTAATATTCTCTTCTCTGTATTATTTGATATCATTAAAAATCTTAAACGATTTGATTCCAAGTACCTTTACTACCAAGTACCTACCACTGGTTAAGGTATCGACCTAAGAGTTCAAAAAACTGTTGAAAGTTAATTAACCTTTTCAGCTTTAGAAAAACAACAATAGTTCATCAAATTTAATTCCTTTCCCCTTAAAAATATATTATAATAAATTCGTGGAATAGTTAACTAACTAAGACGAAACATTGACTTCCACAAAATACATTAAAAAATTATGAAAAATTATATAAAATAAGTTAATGTTTAAAAAAAATCATTATTCCTTTAATAGCCCGTGGAACAGTCCCCTTTTTATCAAATTATTAAGATCCGCCTCGAACTTCATAAATAACTTAATCTCATCGTAAATATTTTACTTATATTATATGACTTATAAAATATGACAGCAACTTTTTCCTTAAAATCAGCTAACCGGAATCACTTTATATCAACGGTGAAAAACATTTTTAGAATATTCTCAAAAACAGCTCTAACGATTTTGATTAAATTCGGTGTATCATTGTATAATTAAGTGGTATTTAATATCATGTAGGTTTTATCCCCGTTGATGTCACTTTACAGGGGCCCAAATGTTCGTATACGTCTTCCTTTAAAGTGACTTTAATAGGGTTTATTTAAAAAAAATTAACTCTCTTTTATTGACAGTGACTATAAAAAATGGCTAAATATGAAGTTTGAAAGAATAAGATAATTGGAAACCGGAGGAAAAAAGAAAAATGCTTATTCAGGTTGAAAATGAATCTTCGGAAATAACAGTCGGAAGGTATACGTATAATATATCGTTGGAATGTAGAGAATTTTAGAAAACAACAAATGAAGTTGTAGAAGGTAACGGAGAATGACGAAAAAATATAGATAATAATTACACAAAACTGTTTCCAAGGAAATTAAAAGAAATTTTCCAACTAAACGAAACTTTTAAATTTTTTCTAAGTTTGAAAAAAAAAATCCATCGAATTAAGCCAATGACATTGTTTAAAATACTATTTCATTGTAGTTGTGTGAAAGAAGAAATGAAATATAAAAATATTTCATATATATGTTTATAACATTAAATACATTTCTGGTAGTTTAATAACTCTAGATATGATATTATATTTAAATAATTAGGTATCTATTAGCCGTTTATCCCAAAAAATCATCAAGCTACATTTTAGAAAATTAAATTAGTGAATAGTTTGATGAATTTTCCATTTGTAAAATCCCTAACTTTTGAACTATCCATGACAGACAATGAAAATCTCGTAATTTCATTTTAGTAAACTTTACAATGGAACAGTTTAATAACTATTGGTCCTACAATTTATAATCATTTATAGTTTAAATATTCGGATATGATTTCAAATCTCTCTAGCTATAAATATATGAGCCTTTCGGTTGACAGAATGACTAAATCCAATTTCAGCATTCTATATTATTAAATTTAGTGATGTTTCTTGTGGCACAATGTACCCCTTTATTCACAGTTCTATATTTCAACTCTGCAATCACCTACTCTAGAATCAACTTATTTACTTTCTGTATAGATTTAATTTTAAATATAATTAAAAATATCAATAAAATGACGTTACTGAAAATCTCGAAATTGTTATTAGTCATTCTGTAAACTGATAGTTTCAGAGACTGAAGTTGTGGGATTCATAAAAGCAGGTGGAGTAACTAGATTTTTATTGTCTACTGTAAAAGTAATAAATAGACTTTTTGTAATTTTAATGGTCTCAATGGGTTGTTATCCGTAAGCTTTAAGCTTTAGCTCCGTTTGAAATGCACTTCAAAAACTTTATGATAGCCCATTCATTGGCAGAAAATAATTTCTATTCAAAGTAGAGCGGTAAGTGAAAGTTGTGTGTTGCGCGCACCAGATCTTTACCTTACTGGTCTTTTAATAATCGATATTTTTATACTTTAAAACTTAATAAAATAGCTTTATGTACTTCTATTTCGCTTCGATTACAGCCTTTATATCAGTTTGCAATAACTTCTCAAAGACGATAAATTTGATCTTAATGCCTTTTCGAAGGAGTTTTATGCCGAGAGAGGGAGATAGGATTTATGGTTTATTACCTGATGACAATGGTGGATTATTACCGTTGAGAGAATCGGAGAGACTCGGGGGGGGGGAGGAGAGAGGAGGGGAGACCCGCTGGACATAATTCAGTTATTGCTTGGCATGCATGAGATAAGGGGATAATATTGGAATTCATGGACCGGTTAGCAAATGGCACAACGGCCTGCCTGTACTATCGCTCCCCTCCCCCCCTATAGATTGTTTACAGCTGTTGAAATTATTAAACAACGATTTTCAACTCTCAATTCGGGAAGAGACGATTCCGTTCATTACCTAAATATTCTAAATACTAGTTGGTCCCTCTGAATGATTCGCATACTATATTTGCCAGTGAAAAAAAGTTAATATTAAAATGGAAATAATTGAAAATAATGAATCATAAATGGGAGGAAATAATTTACATTCAAAATAATTGATCAGATGTTTACTCATATTTTGGTCTATTATTTTAACTACAATTGGCTGCATCTTTGCTAAAAACGATCCGATTTCAACGATCTAATTATCAAGTGTATAATTGATAAATTGTATAAAATACTTGTTAGGTAAATAACGTTTCTTTTTCTTCAGAACTTTTTCTCTTTACTTTGAACAAAACCCTACAATCATGACCTCAACATCCCATTTGTCCTAGACCTTATCCCAGAAAAATTCTCCAAATTTCACCAGAACCTTACGTACCACCCAAATCCTCTTGCAAAATCCCTATCAAGTACCTCCCATCCCTATAATCCTCCAAGAATGTTGAAATGGAAGCGGCCTCGCGACCTTTTGTAGATTGTATAAATTGGAGTTCTGGCAATGGCCAGATTCTTCACTCAAGACATGAGTGAATGTAGCTAAAGTGCTCTCGACCAATCTCCGCTGGCTTTAGTACCAGTGACGCGGTTGGGAGAGTAGCGCAGGATTCTCGTGGAGTTCCCTCGCCTGATTGTATATAGGTATGCATGTGTTTTTTTTTCTTAGTTTTAATTTTCTTATTTTTTAGGTTATTTTATTTTATTATCTATTGTATATACTTTTGATTATTATTTTGTTCTATTTATTTTATTTTATTGTACATATGATGTGAATGTCATCTTACCTCACTATAACCAATGTCCAAGAGACAGATTGTTATAATACTCAATAAAGAAATTAAAAAAAATAAATAAAAAAAAACTTTTTTGGTGGATGTGGTGGTACTTACGTATTAACGCTACCGCAGCGAAAATACTAATAATGCGCCAATCTACAAATACAATTTTCACAACAAATTATAGAATTAAAAAACTTAAGTAAAATCAAAACACTTTAAAATTCAAAACATTTTATTTATGTAAATTAGTCAATCAGATTTCGGTGGAGAATGGAATTTAACATAGATTCAAAAGTCTCTATTTTCTTTCACCTGACGCTGTCGCCATATGAACTCTGATAAATAAGATTTCAAATGATGTCTACATGTACGTTTTTAGGTAAAATATTTCGCTTCTGAAGAAATAAAATTGCATCATGTTCTGTTTTGGACAAATCCCAAATAAGCATTTTCGTAGCACTAAAAAAATGGGGTAAAAAATCAAGGCAACAAAGAAAGATAATTTCGTGCGAGTACGAAGAAGATTTTTGTGTAGAAACAACAAAATTGCTGTAAGCGAACAACAAGATGGCTCTTTATTGCCGCGTTAGCAGAATTTTTGCTGAGGTGCCGTTAATATTTAAGAACCTATGTGTTTATTTTTTGCACCTTAAGGATAAGATGATCATGAAAAAGAGCTCAATCATTGCATTTGATGAAGAATAATAATGTCCCTCATACGCTATTCAAAATATTCGCATTCAAATAATGTATAATACTTAATACTCATCGTTAGTGTTTCAGTGGATAACAAAATATTTTATTGTGAAAACCTTGAATAGCTTATTCAGCACATGCAGTGTTCTCATTCTCATTGAATCGACGATAAGGTAACGTTTCGTAACACATCCCTACTTTTATATCTTCTGCATTAAAATATTTCAAGTCAATTTAATCTATTTGCGGACTCAGAAATATATTACTCATATGGTAAATGACCCATATGTCTACGAAAACCTACTGCTAACTTAACCTGACACAGTTAGCAAATTCACGTAGTGTAGCCAAGTAGCATGTAGTAGCATGAACCATACAAAAAACGAAGGAAATGGTCATATGAGATTCTGCCTCTTCTCGAAGATGACCTTCCTTCTATCTCAAGTTTGGTCCGTGCTGACCCAGGTGTTCTACTCGGCCCTTCTGATGATGGTGTTCATCGGGTTGGCTTACGTTTCGGCGATAGGAGACAGGACGGGCGTAGTTACCGAGGACGAACTAATGAACTGGGTCAACTCCAAACAGGAGAAGGTGAAAGATGGGACGAGAGTGATCGGTGACCACTCGCTGGAGAAGGAGAGGCTTACAGAACAGATAGTCTATCACCAGAACTGTTTCCAGGTAATGGTTTTAAAGGTATTTATTTGATGGATCCGATCGTATCCTAGAGCTCAGACGTTCAGTTGGACAATAGAATTCCGCAAGCAATATAAATTCAGGACGAAGATAATTTCTTTTGATTTAAATAAAAAAATAAAGTTGCGAAAATAAATAAAATGCGCTTTTGATTGCTACAAAAAATGAAGTGTTTCTTTAACTGAACCATCAGCAATTTCTTATTTAAAAATATAAATTCAGTGCACAAATATTATAGCGTTGTTCGGTATAGGTCTAAACCTTGGAAGATAAAGAACCGACATTTTTCAAGTATTACCTTTTGAGCCTAGTAATAATTAAAGGAATTGGCGTTTTCAACCTATTTATATCCTCTACTTAGTTTCAAACAGTTACTCAAAATTTAAAACATTGTGCCCCTTATCGTTCAAAGGTACACATATAACCTTATCTATTCTTCAAATTACTTAGTACGACCAGCTTTGAATTATTTCAATGTTTGTTTATTTGGAATTAACGCCTTTATTTACTCCAATTAGATCAGACAGAGCAGAGTTACTGGTAAAAATTCCTATATCAAATATTCCACAGCATGGGTTCCCAACCTAGAGCTCGCGGGCAGTAATGTTCTCGCGTAACCTCCTCGTGCCGTGAGAGTAAATTAAAATTAAAAATTAATTAGAAGCTATGTGGGTTATAACTAGTTATAAAATAAGTTGCAGTGTTACTAAGAGTTTCAACTTTCTTTTTTTTTATTGCCAAAAAAAGGGATTAATCAAAACAATATTAATGACAAATCTATAAATGAATTATTATTTTTAAATAATAGTACAACTTCGGTAAAAGATTGAGGACAGCAGTGGAAAATATAAAAGTTTTTTTAGCGGCGAAGAAGAAGCAATAAAGTAAGAAATGGAAAGAGGAAAGAAAGAGTAAGAGAAAAATGAAAAGAATATGGGTATATAAAAAAAAAGACTTAAAAATGATATATGTGTGATCCATCATTGGCCAGTATCACAATATATATATATATATATATATATATATATATATATATATATATATATAAATTAAAATATAGATTATTTAATTATTTATAGATTTTATGTAAACGATTTTTTAATTTGTTAATTCTATATTCTTAACTTGAGTGAAATTGTAAAATAATATATTTTCAATATATTTTCTTTTCAGGACCATAGTACTCCTACATCAGGATCAGATCTTGACTGAATCGGCGAAGAAAT